GGCGGTCCTTTTGTTAAATAAGTCACTTTCCCTGTGTTTTACAGGCAAATACCAAAGATAGAAATGTCAAAAGCTCGGTCGGCTATAGACCCTGGTTTTTGACTTTTTTGCATTTCTATCTAGTCTGCCGTCATTATATCCTAAGTGTGCCCCTTGTAGTCACAGGGATTCTTTTGAATTTGAACTTGACTTGCCGGTTTTCTCTTTCAGCAGGGGGACACAGCATTTCACTGGGACTGTGTCCAACGAAGCTACCAGTGAAATGGGATATCCAGCTTGGCCAGCTGGACGTACCTGCGAATTTTAATCCTTTGGTAAAGTGCTAATGCATCTGCAGATGTGAACGGCCGTCGTCATCCTGTCGTCTCGACCTCGACTTGGGCTTTTGGCCCCTTCTCCTTTTTAAGACCTCCAGGACCCGTTGGTTCTTACTTGTACTCTTAGGAAATGATACCCTAGGCCGGCGTGTGGCACCGCTGTCAGTTCCGTATGCATATCTATAAGTGTGTGTGTCAACCTTTCTGCTGCAGGTCGGTCCTTTGCTTCCTTCTTTTTTTGTTTTCTGGAATATAGTTTGGTCTCCAGCTGACGCTGCGCAAGAGGAGTTGAGTGTCCACTGGCACTGGGTTGGTCTCGCCATAGTGTTCGCACCGAGTGAGGCGGCTTCAGCACTGAGAGCCTTGGTGGAGGGAGACAGAGAGAGAGAGAGAGACTTGCAATTGAACAGAAGATGTATGACACATGTGGCTGATCCCTGCAAAACTCAAGATTTCTGAACAGCTTTCAACCACTGGTTGGGATGTTTCCGGCAAGCGACAACCTCAAGGTTTTCTCCACAGATCACGGCCAATGGCAAGACTGTGGTTATCGACAACTCTAGCGCCTTTAGATACCACGAGGATGTCCCGCATCTTATCTGATCTAAAGCCTCGAGCAATTCTTTTTCTCTTTTGTCTGGTGGCTCTTTGCAGTTTTGAGAATCAGTCCTGAGGCTCGTGGTGCCAGAAATCAACAGGCGCTAGAGCACTCGAGCAGAGAAGTGGAACATCCAAGTCCTTGGCTAAATAAATTCCTCAACATCTAGTCAACATTTGCCACTGCACTTGCAAGAGTTGCCGCTCTGTGACATCGCTGTCAGGTCCGCTATGGAGGGCAAGTTGTTGATCGCGAACCCAAACTGTACTACTGCCATTGCGGCCATGGCGCTGTGGCCGTGCCATGCTTTGAAATAAGAATCCAAGCAGTCTGCCCAGTTTGGCCTCTTTGATTGGTTCATATGTGCGGAAACCATCTTTGTTCAAGGCCTTTGGTCCACCACAAGGTGTAAACCCTGAATTTTGATTGTGCTGAGGCTACACAAGTCCTTCAAGCTGAAGAAGATCATTGTCTCCACCTACCAGGCAGGGGCCGCAGGGGATGTGTGTTTCCAACACAATACCTGATGAGTTGAGTAGCGTTTCAAAACACGACGCAAGACGTACTCTTTGTTTTGTTTGGTGAGGCAGCGAGCGGTGCTGGAGCACAAGGAATGACTGAGCTAGAAGAAGGGACTCGGTTGGCCTTAGATGGCAAGGAGCATCCAAATGAGGCTCAGCGGCCTCCTGTAGCCGCCTATGGCCATTGATCAAAGGGTGCCGTGGCTAATGAGCCTGGTGGCGTGGTGTTGGGTGTGCCAGGTTTTCGCTCATCCTTTGCCCTTCAACGTTATTCCGCACATTGACAGCTTTCAAAGCAATGGTTATACCAAGGACAGGGTTGCTGGCTGACCTTTTCTCACAACTGTGTAATGCATCAACGAGAAATCAGAACATCAAACACCTTTCTCACGTGCATTTCTTCTTTAGAGTTGCGGTTTAAGGGTGTTGAGTTGGAAAGGAAGAGATGAAGGTTGTTTGGGAGACTCAGAAGATCTTTGATGACAAGACCTTGGCATGTAGCTGCACTGCAGTCCGCATCCCGACAAAACGCTTCTTGGCTTGGTCGAAGGGCGTGGTTCGCATACCTCCAGCAAATGCTGTTCTCGTTGAGGAGCGTGTCCCACACCGAGCGTGTAGCTCCTTGTAGAAGTTTAGCATCAGCTTGGATGGATTCCCAATTCCTGAGGCGCTCATTCAGAAGCTATCACCATCGAGACGGAAGAGGCGAGATCACTCCAGGTCATCGATCATAGAGAAAATCTGACAAACAGAAGACTCAATAGTGCGCAATTTGGGGCGCGCTTCAGGGATTTTTCATCGGATCTCCAGCATCCGGCAAGTGATGGGATCAACGAGTTTGGCAGGTCCACATTGAAGTTTTGCGTCACGAAAGCTAGCGCGCTCGCTGAGTTCTAATCTTGTGGGATAAGGTTGGTTCCTTAAAGCTTGATCTTTCACCCCCTCCGCGGGTCCAACTCCCAGAGAGGACAAATGGGAGATCCTGTTGTGAAAATGATCATCCCTGACCAACGTTACCCCATGAAAGAGTATTGAAGCGAGGGTGTCCGTCACAGGTCCTTGTTGCTGCGTGGTTTGACAAGGTCTTTTGGGACACCTGCTTCAAGACACCAATGTATACACGCAAGCCTCATAATGTGGATGCTGCTGCTGCTGCTGCTGCTTGTCTGCTGCTGCTGCTGCTGCTGCTGCTTGTTTGCTGCTGCTGCTGCTGCTTGTTTGCTGCTGCTGCTTGTTTGCTGCTGCTTGTTTGCTGCTGCTGCTTGTTTGCTGCTGCTGCTGCTGCTGCTGCTGGTTTGTTTGCTGCTGCTGCTTGTTTGCTGCTGCTGCTTGTTTGCTGCTGCTGCTTGTTTGCTGCTGCTGCTTGTTTGCTGCTGCTGCTTGTTTGCTGCTGCTTGTTTGCTGCTGCTGCTTGTTTGCTGCTGCTGCTGCTGCTTGTTTGCTGCTGCTGCTTGTTTGCTGCTGCTGCTTGTTTGCTGCTGCTGCTTGTTTGCTGCTGCTGCT